TGTTAATTAGCTTGATTGTGGTAATCATTTCACAGTGTATACATGTATCAGAACAGCACTTTGTACACCATAAATATATACAATTTTTATTTGTCAATTATACCTCAATAAAGTTGGACATTGTTTTAATTAATTTTTTAATTCAATAGAAGAGATGGAAGATACAGTCAAGGAATTTTACCAGAAGATTCAATAAAAATAATAGCAGAAAATTATAAGAAAAGATGGAGATATGTCTGATGGTTCCAGGATGGTCCTTTTCCACTTACCAGGAATTCCAGGGAAGAAACTCAAGTTACTGTGTTATTCCAAGGCACAAGTTATCCTGGGAACAATACCAAAAATTGTCTTACAGGTGAAGAGCACAGGTCTCCAGATTGAAGGACCCCTCTATCCCAGTGTCCAGCACAATAAATGAAAAAAGATCTATATCTATATCAAGGCACACTTTCATGAAATCTCACACCAGGGAAGAGAAGGCCATATAATTATTTCACAATATACACATATCTCAAATCATCATGTTGTACACCTTGCACGTAATATATGTCAATTATATCTCAATAAAGCTGAGAGAGAGAGAAGGCTATAAAAGCTGTCAGAGAGTAAAATCACATCAATGAACAAAGAATATATGGAATCTAAATAAAAAAGAAAAATGGTTCTGAAGAACCTAGGGGCAGGACAGGAATAAAGACACAGAGGTAGAGAATGGACTTGAGGACACGAGGAAGGGTAAGGGTAAGCTGCGACAAAGTGAGAGAGTGTCATGGACATATATACACCACCAAACATAAAATAGATAGCTAGTGGAAAGCAGCTGCATAGCACAGGGAGATCAGCTCGGTGCTTTGTGACCACCTAGAGGGGTGGGATAGGGAGGGTGGGAGGGAGATGCAAGAGGGAGGGATATGGGGACATATGTATACTGATAGCTGATTCACTTTGTTATAAAGCAGAAACTAACACACCATTGTAAAGCAATTATACTCCAATAAAGATGTTAAAAAAAAAATGACCAAAGAATAAGAACCTGAATGGCACCGTACTTACCAAAAGCAACACTGGGTGCTAGAATTCAATAGAGTAAAGCCTTTAGAATTCTGAAGAAAAGTGATTTGCAACCTAAAATTTATAGCCAGGTAAAGTGTCAATTGAATACAAGAGTAGGGAAAAAAGTCATTTTCAGTCATACAAGGACTCAGAAAATATCTTGCATATATGACCTCCAAAAAATTACTTGGAAATGTACTCCAGGGAATTCCCTGGTGGTCCAGTGGTTTGGACTCTGCACTTTCACCACTGAGGGCGTGGGTTCAATCCCTGGTGGGGGAACTAAGATCTTGTAAGCCGGGAAAAGAAAAAGAAAGAAAGGAAGGAAGGAAGAAAAGAAAGAAAGAAGGAAAAAGAGAGAGAGAGAGAGGGAAGGAGGGAGGAAGGAAGGAAGGAAGGAATAAAATGTACTCCAGTGAAATGAGGGAGAAAACCAAGAAAGAAGACAACACAGAATTCAGGAAGAGACTTGCGCTGGAGAGAGGGCAGAGACTTAGAGAAGCGTGAACTGTAGACATTGGAGGAACCATGGGTTTCAAGCTGGAAAGCAACAAAACTTGTTCTTTCCAAGTTTTAGAAAGAACATCCTGTCCTAAGTCTGAAGGCAGAATTAGTAGACACTTTCTGGGAGACGAGTCCGGAAGTTTTTGCAAAACTCAGTTGAAATGTAATCCAGACCTAAACTAAGGTGGTAGTTATGAGAACCATGACACTGTAGACCCATAAACAGCAGAGCTGAAATCTGATTGGGGGTCTAGCTCAATTGCATTTTACTGTAAACATTCATGGCATGAATACTGAACAAGGACAAGAGAGAATCCACAAGGACATAAGCCCTGGAAGATGGCACTTGGTGGGCAGGAAATAAAGAAATACCAGCAGGCTTAGAGGGAAGAATCATTCCATTGGGTAATTTTGAAAAGAGAGACAGTGCTACATCCACTGGGAGGTATAGGAGCTCCTACCTTCCTTTCTGCAACACTCAGAGCTGTCTGATTAAAACTTTAGATCTCTGCAACAGAGGTTAAATTTTTTTAAAAGGGGGGGGGGGGTTGAAGGGGAAGCCGTTGTTCCCCTTGCTTGACTCTGTAAGGGCTGAAGTAGCACCAGTGCAGCAGCCTACATCAGGAGAGGGCCGTACCTCAGAGCACTTCAGGAGCAGTAGGCTTAATGGATACTTAGAGCTACATCAAGTGGCTCATGCCAGTGGGGAGTGAGATGGCTCCAGATAGATTCTAATTTGGGCTGTAAGCAGTCTGTGGCCCTGAGATGAGGTTGGAGAGGAAGGCAAGGGCCAGATCTGCAGGGCCTTGACAAGCATGGTATGAAGACTAGATGTTATTCATGTACATTAGGAAGTCACTGCAAGGTTTTGAGCAGGAGAATGACCTTGCTCCACCCATATGTTACGACTACTCTACTGCTGTGTGGAGAATGGACTGGAAGGGAGTAAGAGCTGACAAGAAAACTACCACAGCAAGAGATGCTGTTAGCTTGAACCAGAGAGCTTCCATTAGAGATGCAAATACGAGCTCTTCTGGAGTTCACATCCCTGTATTTTGCTCGATTAAATGGACGAGGAGCAGGTTGGTGTCAGGGTGGGGGATTAGAAGCTAAATTTGGGATGGATCTGTCAAGTTGGAGATGCCTGTGAAAAATCCATATGGAAATGTCAAATAAGCAGTTGACTATATAAGCCAAGATCTGGGCTGGAGCTGTATTTGCTTGGTTCCTTGCTTCTGATTTGAGCTTAAACTCCAGATTGTGGCAAGGAGGGCATTAACATTGAACACCTACTATAGGCCAAGTACCAATTATGTTACAGATGTTTCCATCACAAAGTTTATGCACATTTTCCAAAAACGCCTTCCCAATTCAGCCCCACTAGAGGCTACCTGGGAAACGCTCATTGCAGACACTCAGACAAATCAGGGAGTAAATTCCTCCCCCCCACCAGGTTGCTAACGAGTTCCTGGAGGGGTTGCTGCACCTGGATCTATGTTCAAAGACTCCAGAGACCTGAAGATATGAAGGAGCCTGGTGATAATCCCAGCCCCCAGCCACTGAGCTGTCCTAACCTTCAAGCCTTCCTGGCTGAGTCCCAGACAGCACAGAGCAGACACAAACCATCCCCTCCATGCCCTGTTCAAATTCCTGGCCCACAAAAGCTATGCTTGTAATAAAAAGATTGTTGTTTGATGCCATTTAGTTTGGGGGTATTTTGTCATGCAGTAACAGGAATGGTTACTAAAGTGTTTTCTCAAGAAATATCTATTTAAAGACACAGACCTACTAGAGAATGGACTTGAGGATACGGGGAGGGGAAAGGGTAAAAAAAAGAAATATCTATTAAAATGCAAACGCACTACTTGGAAGGATAAACTCTTTCAGATGAACACACACAATCAGTGTATCCAACAGACAGCAAAGCAGAAAAAAGGAGCCAAGAGATGCTCTCTTGTTTCACCGACAGAAAAGAGACACGTAAGTGGCCTCCAGAAAACCGGAGGCATAAAGATGGCCACACCATGAAGACACACGGCTAAAAGAGAAAGAGATGCATCCAAAGGAAGATGAGGCAGGAGAGCAAAGTCCAGCCTCATTTACCTCACAGTTGGGCTTAATTCCTCAACTCTCTCACTAACCACAAAGTTATTCATTTAGGCCAGTTTTTCCAAATGTACTTGCTTAACGTTAAAAATCACCTGGGGATCATATAGTAACAAGCACCAAGGGTAATTATTACCCCCAGGCAAGTTTGGGAAATGCTGAAATATGGAATTTTTAAATTAAATATAAAAAAAAAGCAAACGTGACAGCCTCCCCCCAATAATCACAGTTCTGCAGTGAATGGGGTTAATACTCAAGCTTCCTGTTTATAAAAAGCAAGTTGCAAGTTCTAGCAGCCTTGAACCCTGAGAATGTAAATCCCAGCTAAGTCCAATTACAATAATGTGGAGTAGAAGTTGAAAATATTGGAATTCATTTGCTAATCAGTCATTACTAATTACATGAAACATTAAAAATATGATTGTAAAAAGAAGGAATATTTAATGAAGGTCAATTTAATTCAATTGATAAAATATAAAATAAGAGAGATGTTAGTTTAAATATTTATGGTCTTATTCAGGCTGTTACTCAACACAAGTAAAAATGATGGAGCAAGATACATAACCTGGATTCTGTGGGACTGAGAAAAGAGCAGGAAATGTCACACTAAAAGCCATGAATTAATTCTACTTTAGTAACTGACACTAATGTCTACACTGTCCCCAGCCTCACCACCTCAATCTGAATCTCATTTCAAATTGTTAATATAAATCCTGGAGTTTTCTTTCCCGGAATACATTTAGAGCCTTCTAAGGAATCTGTGGCGAGATTGTTCTGAGTCATGAAGTCACCATGTAACTGGTTATGACTCCCAAGTTCTGCGTCATTAGGAGAAGACTTTCATGATACTGGTATTGATCCATATCGATGAACACTTTATCAATCCCAAAACCCTAGCCCCCACAGAGACTGGGAGCAATTTAGTCCCCTCTGAGCCTGTTCAAATTTATTGCTCTTGCCTCTTGAGACCATTTAGTAGTTATATGATGTAGTTTTATTTATATGATGAGTAAAATTGACATCCATCTCTGATTCCCAGAGTTTGTGTGTATTGTAATGGGTAAAACAAAATGTCTGCTGAACTATGTATTATTTGTACTGATAGATCCTGGAGTTCTAAACAATAGAAATGGAAGTCCCTTGCAACATACCAACTTAAAAGCATAATATCCATCCTTAGACCAGTGGCTGTGTGTAATAACTCAGAGTGCATATTCTACAGCAGAAAGCATCGTGTCATCTCCCCATTAATCTCAGGCCTGTCTGTCTTTCTGGCCAAGAACTGGAAGGCCCTGGCTGCTCACCATCTCTCTGTATCACTGTTCTCTCCCTCCCAGGGATGTCTCTCATACCAGTGTTACTGCCCTGCCATCCAAAGGCCTGGAACACCTGAAGGAATTGATAGCAAGAAACACTTGGACTCTAAAGCAACTTCCACTTTCCTTGAGTTTCCTTCATCTCACACGGGCTGACCTTTCTTATCCGAGCCACTGCTGTGCTTTTAAGAATCAGAAGAAAATCAGAGGGTAAGTGACAGTGTCTGGAATAAGTGACAAAAGGCTTTGGTGGAAGTTGAATTAATTTCTGGGTTTGAGGAAGAAGCTCTGTGGTTTGAAAACCAGGTGAAGAAGAATTTGGAAACATCCGTCAGAGACATGAAGTTCATGGGACACAGTGACTGCAGACCGAAAGTGGTTGCAGATAAGAAATAAGGCCTGTGTCGCTGGATCACAGCAGGGGAGGGAAGGATTTTAGGTGATGTTGTAGGAGAGGCAGGAATCTTGTAGAGGTTACATGACATGATTTCTGGCCTCCAGACCCAACCCATATTAGGTGCCACAACTATGAGGACGAACTTAGGAACAACACAAGCAATTGGATTACCTGGTCAGTTCAGGCCTTGCAAATGACACAGCTCCCTGGTTACAGTGTGGGCTTTGTAGTCACCTGGGTTTGTGTCCCAGCTTTGCCACTTCCTAGCTGTGTTATCCCACCCTACTCACTTAACCTTCCTGAGCCTTTGTGAAGGGAGATCGTAATGCTACCATTTACGGAGGTTTTGAGAAGAGCAAATGAGAAACTGAGTAGAAAACACCTATCACCATGACCTGGAATTTAAGTTCTCATAATATGTATTATTTTATTAACAGGCTGCTTGTGGGGCTGCAAAAGAGGGATGGCCTTCTTTTTCTCCCATGCTCTCTCTGAATCTTGTCTTCACCTACAGTTTCACTCTGCATCATTTCCCCTTTTGTGTCTGTTCTTCATTTATCTCTTATTCACTCCCTCTTGGTTTCTATATAATATCTGCGGGTTGACTTCCTGCACTCAGACTAGCAGTTGTAAATAAGTTGGGATCTAGCTGTGGGGATAGAAGCAAACAGGAAAGTTGAACAGCTGTGCAAAGAAAGCTACTGCGGGCATAACAGTGGCAGAAAACTAGGAGTGGGATATGGGGACGGTGTCAGCCAGCCCTGAGCAGAAAAGGGACCAGGGACGGGCGGGAGGCTAAAGTGGACCCCGAGGGCAGTATCCAGATTTCTCGTCACCCTCCAAACAGGTTGGAATAGGCAGTCCACCAGGCATTTTAAGCAGAGCTCAATAGATGAATCTGCTCAGCAGCTAAAGCCAGTTAAAGAATCCCATTTGGGGAATTCTCTGGTGGTCCAGGGGTTAAGACTCTGTGCTTCCACTGCAGTGGGCACTGGTTCGATCCCTGGTCGAGGAACTAAGATCCTGCATGCCATGTGGCGTGGCCCAAAAAAAAAAAGAATCCCTTTTCATATCAGTCTGGAGAGCTAGTGAAACACTAAATCTTACTTCCATAAGCATGTCTGAACAATAGTGTCCATTTATTCATTTGTTCAATAAATATTTATTGAGCACCTGTTATGTGCCTGGCACTGTCCTATCCACAGCAAGAGCCTTCTTGCATTTTGTTAACGTTCTAGAATGGGAAGTCAGAAAAGAAACAGGCAAACAAAAAGAAGATATTAGATAGTGCTGTGAAGAAAATAAACACAAGGCTCAGGCAATGTATTAAGGAAGACGAAGGAAGCCTCTTCTGAGGAAAGAAAATCTGAGTTTAAAACTGAATAATGAGTAGAGGCAGCCATGAGTTTTTCAGGCAAAGGGAACATGGAATTCTAAAGCTCTGAAGAGGAAAAAAAAATAATAATAGTAACCAAAATATACATGGCACTAACAATGTTCCAGGTGCTGTCATAAGAACTTCAAAATGATAAACTCATCTAATCCTTTAACAATCCAAAATGAAATAGATACTCTCCCTATCCCGTTCTACAAATGCATAAACCAATGTTCATAGACCTACCCAAGATGAAACAGCCAGTAAATAGTAGAATCAGATCCTAACCTAGGCAGATTGGCTCTAGCATCCATACTTTTTTTTTTTTTTTAAGTCACTGCTGTTCTTGAACCGGTTGCAGACGAGAAATAAAGACCAATGTCAGTGGATCACACTTGGAGAGGGGAGGGTTATAGGAAATGACATAGGAGAGACAGGCCTGACCAGATCATGTAGAATCTCACAGAATCATGTATATCATACGAAGTAGTTTGCATATTTTGCTAAGTGTTGTGGGGACTATTAGAGGGTTTTCAGCAAGTGGTGACTTATATCTACTGCCTTGCAGAATCCTTGAGTCTTTAATGTGTAATGAGAGCAGTATTCGGAGCCTGCGTCAGAGAAAATCTGTGAAAGCTGTAAATGGTCCCTTCGAACAAGAATATGAAGAGGATCTGGGTGACGGCAGCGCTGGGTACAAGGAAAACTCCAAGTTCCAGGATACCCACAGCAACTCTCATTATTACGTCTTCTTAGAAGAACAAGAGGATGAGATCATTGGTTTTGGCCAAGAGCTCAAAAACCCCCAGGAAGAGACCCTACAGGCCTTCGACAGCCATTATGACTACACCGTGTGTGGGGGCAGTGAAGACATGGTGTGTACCCCCAGGTCGGATGAGTTCAACCCCTGTGAAGACATAATGGGCTACAAATTCCTGAGAATCGTGGTGTGGTTTGTTAGTCTGCTGGCTCTCCTGGGCAATGTTTTTGTCCTGGTCATCCTCCTCACGAGCCACTACAAACTGACTGTCCCACGCTTTCTCATGTGCAACTTGGCCTTCGCAGATTTCTGCATGGGGATGTACCTGCTCCTCATAGCCTCCGTAGACCTCTACACGCAGTCTGAGTACTACAACCATGCCATCGACTGGCAGACAGGCCCTGGGTGCAACACAGCTGGTTTCTTCACCGTCTTTGCCAGCGAATTGTCAGTGTACACACTGACAGTCATCACCCTGGAGCGCTGGTACGCCATCACCTTCGCAATGCGCCTGGACCGCAAGATCCGCCTCAGGCACGCCTACGCCATCATGGTTGGGGGCTGGGTTTGCTGCTTCTTGCTCGCCCTGCTCCCTTTGGTGGGAATAAGCAGCTATGCTAAGGTCAGTATCTGCCTGCCCATGGACACCGAGACTCCTCTTGCCCTGGCATATATTATCCTTGTTCTGTTGCTCAACATAGTTGCCTTTATCATCGTCTGCTCCTGTTACGTGAAGATCTACATCACAGTCCGGAATCCCCAGTACAACCCGGGGGACAAAGACACCAAAATTGCCAAAAGGATGGCTGTGTTGATCTTCACTGACTTCATGTGCATGGCCCCAATCTCATTCTATGCTCTGTCAGCACTTATGAACAAGCCTCTCATCACCGTTACCAACTCCAAAATCTTGCTGGTTCTCTTCTACCCACTTAACTCCTGTGCCAATCCATTCCTCTATGCCATTTTCACCAAAGCCTTCCAGAGGGATGTGTTTATCCTGCTCAGCAAGTTCGGTATCTGTAAACGTCAGGCTCAGGCATACCGGGGTCAGAGAATTTCTGCAAAGAACAGCACCGGTTTTCAGGTCCAAAAGGTTACCCAAGACATGAGGCAAAGTCTCCCCAACATGCAGGACAACTATGAACTGCTTGAAAACTCCCATCTAACCCCAAATAAGCAGGACCAAATCTCAAAAGAGTATAAGCAAACAGTTTTGTAAGTGGTAGGGGGACTTGGGCTGGTTTCTTGAGCATGCATTCCAACCACTGACACAACACACAGTTGACCCAACCTGCAGGTAGTGTTCAGCTCTGGAGAGGGACTAGCCTTAACCTAGTCATTGCCTCCAAGAAGGAAGAGAGGCTACCGACATGTCTGAATTCCAGGTGATATCAAAGTAATGTATACTTTCTGGAAGAGTTGCTGGATGCTAAGTGCAGTGATGACATTGTGTAAAATGCTTAATAAATATCACCTGAGCCATGTTGACATTGAGCTTTCTCACTTTCATACTAGAGATTCAGCAAATGGCAAATGCTATTAACTTGGTTGGTGACCACAAGATAAAACTGGCCCCATGTTGGTTTAGTTCCACTTCGTGTTCCCTGATACAACCCAAGAGAGTTTGAGTCCCTAGAAACTGAAAAGTCAAGCAGAACATCATGCACGGAACAGCTATTTTGACACACGAAGGAGGGGGAAGGTGTAGATTTGAGTTGTTTTTTCAGACTCTGAAACTTAATCATCTCTGCACAAGAATCTACCTGATGTGACCCAACTGTTGCCTGGAAAAACTGGCAAGATTTCAGCTGTTGTGGCTGAGCAGACTAAGAATTACTCTTCTTGGCCAGTCTTCTGGCATTAAAGATGTGAACTCTAGAAAGTACTTATAAATAGTGACAAGTGGGAATTATGAGCGGGGCACACTAGATCTCCCACTGATTAATAAAGCAGGCTGGACACTAGTTTACTATTGGATCTTGGGCAAATTACTGGGCTTCTAAAGTCTGTAGAAATGAAGGAGATTGATGGCCTCTTCCAGTTTTAAAACTCCATGTATATCCCTTTCCCTCAAAACATAGGTTGCCATGACAAAGAGAAAGAAAAACAATAAGGAAGCAGAATCTGTTTTTCCTATCTTGTAGGAAAAACAATGTGCCATCTCCTTCTCTTTGGAGCCTAGACATATGACCCAGCAAATTTTTTCTTTGTTTCATTTTTGGTTATGATGTCTGAACCAGAAATTCTATTGAGTGACCATACTGGGTTGGCTCTGAACCACTCATCTAATTATTAGATCTACACAGCTATAATTATCAGGCCAAAACCAGATTGATATTCACACAATAGAATTAGGGTTAGGGTGGTTTTGCAAATGCTTGTTATTTAGAGTTACTACTTCACTGTGCAGGTTCACTTCAAACATTTAACTTGTCTTCAGGGATTGGTTTCTTTACTTAGCCTTTTCTGACCCATAATACAGTACTAAAGAGAGGTTTCTTCTCTCTGAAACTGCCAGCTCTTTCCAACCTTGTTGACCACTGGACATAAAATCTTTATTCCCTAACAGTGCTCCCTTACTTAATATGGTCAGGATTTTTATCTATAGATGTATTCTCCAGGTTATCTGTCAAGACAGTCCCTTAATTTCATCCCAAAGGGAGATGGCATTTGCTTCTCAGTGCTCATGAACCACACTGTGCATTAAAACCACAGCATGAATTAAAAGCTTGTGTTAAGTCTATGGAGTGGGGCAAGTGGGCCCAGTGGGTCCCCAGAGATGGTGACCCTGACTTACCTGGAAACTCTCAATAGCCATACCCATTCCTGATTATCAGTGAGACATGGATTAGATGTCTTAGTAGAAATATTACACACACCTAAAATCATGACTAATCCACCAGTTCACTTGTAACTAATGAAATTAAACAAATGTGTTACCTTTGACATGTATTTCTCATCTGTAACATTTTGAAATACCACATCCTGATAAATAATGTGTTTTATCTTGAGTAGTTGAAATAATGCTTTGGAAACAGTCCTAGAAAAGTAACTTCGACAGAATTGTTGCTAAAATTTGCATTTGCAACATGAAGTAAATTTTCTTCCTATGAAATGACTATGCTGAGTCCTAAAGTATTGCTTTTTGTAATTTGTGAGCTTCTGTAGAGTTATTATTATATGTGTTAAAACTAAAGACAGGAAAAAAATTGGCACATTGGCTAATAAATCCATGTTAATAAATAAATTATTGACTACTAATAACTTAAGTATAATATTGTATCTTGGTTGTAAATGGTCTTTATGTGAAAAAATTTACTCATGGTTAAATGAATTATGATTCATTGAGAGGCAATGAATCTAAGAGAAAAAAAACGATTGGTGTTGACACTAGGAATTTATATAGCGCTCTAATGAAGATAATAAATCTACAAGACCTGGTCAGAGTTCACTTTATCTGGCAACTATCTAAAGATTTCAACTGCCTAAAGATAGACCCAAATCAGTGAGGACAAACAGCCTCAAGTCAGTCACAATAGATGTCACAAAAATTCATGCCCTAAAATTTAAGCATGTTGCTCAAAGGAGTGTCTCTCAAGAAACCCTCAAAGTTTGACTCTTGCTCTATGGATAATCTGCTGCATATCAGAAGCAGCTGATTAGAAAAAGAGAGTCTATTACAAGGCAGCACCATGAGAGGGGCAATAAAGTAAAAGTGAGGGCAAGAAGATGAAACTGGAATCATAAGAATTAAAAACAATAACAGGGCTTCCCTGGTGGCTCAGTGGTTGAGAGTCCGCCTGCCGATGCATGGGACACGGGTTCGTGCCCCGGTCTGGGAAGATCCCACATGCCGTGGAGCAGCTGGGCCCGTGAGCCATGGCTGCTGAGCCTGTGCGTCCAGAGCCTGTGCTCCGCAACGGGAGAGGCCACAACAGTGAGAGGCCTGCGTACCGCAAAAAAAAACAAAAACAAAAAAACAAAAAAAAACCAATAACAGTTTGAGAACAAATACTCCTCACTGCTTGAAGGTTTTGGAGAAAAAACTATATCATAACACAGTGGTGTGATTCTCATTCATTCTGAATACCTAAAGGGACAAGAAAAACTTGGTAGCAATACGTTCTACTTCAAAAGATATAGAGTTCCAGCTCAAAGTGATGGATGAGTTCTGGCATCTATCAATCTTCCTTTTTCAAATTCCACTGAAATGACAGTGAGAAAATATAAAATGGAATCAAGCCAAAACTGTATTGTAAACAGGAGAAATGGTACCAACAACACACCCAAGTCTTTGATGACTTTCTGAAAGATGGAAAGTTTCTGGCCTTGAGTTGGTGGATAACTTAGAGTGGAGAAGGCTGCAGCCTAGAACATACAGGATAAGGCTGTAGCTGTGGAAGGATGTGTTCTTCCTTGCAGAGTCTTAAGAGACCCCTAAGCCTGAAGGTCACAGGACTGAGAGGCTAACTATGTAATTAACTGCCAGCCCATCTCACCTGGCCCCTCCCATCCCCTCTCACTCCATTTAGTTAGAACAACTGACACATTCAGTGTTTGCCCCAGGTTGAAATCAAGAAACTTATCTTAAAGAAAGTGAATGTTCAGTGTTGATAGGGCTAAGTCCCTGGTCTGGGGCAGGGGGCAGGAAGCAGGGAACCTAGCCCACTTGCCCACTTCCTGCCCTCACATCATAAAGTGAAGCCTGGTCATTGACACAGACGCATCAACATCAGTGTCCAGTCAGGGAAAGGCATCTTGGGGGAGAAAGATCTACGCCATCAGCTGACATTAACCATTCTCATCCTTTATTCAAAACTAAAAATGAACCACAATAATTATCAGACATTTGAAGAGATGAACTGCATATCAATAGCCCAAAAAAAAGACCAAATTGAACAAAGAGAACATTTCCCTAGAAAAGACAGTTCAGAAACACAGTATTATTTTTAAATTTGTATTTGATAACATCAGAGAAATTTGAGAAAATACTGGGCTCCAAAATAATAACAAGCTACTATTTTTTTAAAAAAGTAATAATCAAAAATGAGGAGGAGTTTTGGCAAATTTAAAATGGGATTGCCAAAGCCAAGAGCTTTAATAGAAGGACTAGGAGTTAAAGTAGAGGAAATCTAAAATGAACAAATAAATAAAGATGTGAAATATCTGACAAAAGTTGAAAGATACAGAGGATTAGTCTCAAAGTCCAACATATGTCTAATAGGAGTTTTAGAGGAAATGTAGAAAATGTAATAATACCAGAGCAACAGAAGGAAGAAACTTTCTTGAACTAATAAAGATTGATAGTGTCTCCTTAGTACTAAGGGGGCGGGGGGTGAATGAAAAAGACTCACGTGTAGAACAGTCCATATAAAATGTCAGAACACCAAAAGTAAAGGGGAGATCTAAAATGTTTGAGAGCGAATCAAGAGAGAAAGAGAGAAAAACATCAGGTATTGTAAAGAATTAACAAGCAGAGTCACCTTTAATTCAAGTTAACAAATTGTATACTAGAGGTCAGTGGAACAACACTTTCAATGCTGTGGGAAAAATATTTAAATCCAGGATACTATACCTAGCCAAATGTGCATCCAAGTGGAAGGGCAAAATAATAACATGTTCATATTACAAGTACTTGGAAAGTTTACTTATTTCAGATAAATTATCCAACACTTGGAAAAAAGCAAAAAGATAACTATTTTTGGTGTGTTTTCAGTGCAGTATTGGGCTTGACTTCCTATTGTTCAGGGTATTTTACAACTTGGTAAGGACAGAGGTTAACTTGTGCAAATGATTTTGATCTGATAGAGATTCAACTAACTTCTGCATGGTTTGTGGCCCCATTAGATATTAACCAGTTTTGTATCTAACCCAGCAGTTTTATCCTAACACTTAAAATTGCTTATATATACTTAGCTTCTTAAGTGCTTTATTTTTTGGACCAATTTTAACAATTTGCTAATATCTTCATCAACTTTTAAGTTGAGTAAAGCCTTTGAAAAAAATGTTTACTTTATATTTGCAGAAGCATCATTTTCTAACACTACCTATATATCCCATCTGAAAAATTACTTGAAGTTGTACTTCAGATATGACGTAATTTCCTTTTCAATGAATCTCAACACACTCCTGGTTTTAAAGTTAATAATATTTGTGTGTCATAATTCTCTAAACATTTTAAAAATCAAATTATATGGCTCACTTATATTTACCAGTAGAATATAAGTATTACAAGTCTTGACACGTCAAAGTAATGGCACTGCTGACAAAAGTCAGGAGGGGGAGGGGGAAGGGAGAGGAGCAGGACATGATAAAGGAGCTAATTCCCTATCTTACACAGTGTGGAGGGAGGGAAGACTGCCCACAGTTAACAGAATAAGAAATAGAAGTTTGTTTCCTAAGGTTATAAAGTTGACCAGCTGAAAAACTTAAAATTAATACCAGCCTCCAAATTTTAAGGCTGAAAGTTAGGGGATTATGCTAAATCAACTAATTTCCTAATCTCCCTTATGTGCAGACAAAAGATACATTGTCTAAATATCTATAGTTCAAGTAACAGGTACCTAAGTATATAATAGTAATACAATAACAACCACCAGAAGAACTAAAATCAGAAAATGGCTAAAAGTAGTTTTCTAGGGATTGGGACTAGGGATTGAGTACTGTTAGGGGCTGAATTGAGTCCTCTCAGATTCATATGTTGAAGCCCCAACCCCCAACATGACTGTATTTGGAATAGGACCTTTTTGGAGGTAATTAATGTTAAATGCAGTCATAAGGGTAAGGGCATAATCCCATTGGACTGGTGTCCTTATAAGAAGAAGAAGAGACACCACAGCTCACTCTCATTCTTGTGCACACAGAGAAAAGGTCATGGGAGGACAGAGTGAGACGATGGCCATTTGCAAGCCAGGAAGAGAGCCCATACCAGAAACGGAATCTGACAGCACTTCAATCTTAGACTTTTAGCCTCCAGAACTGTAAGAAAATAAAATTCTGTTGTTTAAGCCACCCACTGTGTGGTATTTTGTTATGGCAGCCCAAGGTGACTAACATAGATGAAAACTTTTCAACTGGTGCTCCTCTGTACTGCTAATTTTTTTATCATATGCTTACTTTTTAAAGACATTGGAATGGAAATTATTATAATAATATTATTCTTTAAGATAATAATTTAAATGTATCATTTAAAGAAAGGTGCAGAATGGCCAATTTTATCAGGTAATTGAGTTATTATATCTTTAGAGCTATAAGAGGGAGGCAGATATCACATTGAAGGTCACTTAAACAGTAATCTGACCATTATGAAATTTAGATTTTTAGGATGTGACAAATCTAAGCCATGAGTTTTAAAGTGCCTACTTTGTAGCAATATCAAGTAAACTAAACACTAAGAAAGTAAAAGCCCTTCAGAATTTATTCTATTGGACAGTCTAATCACATTAAATCAGAATTTCTGTTTCCCTTAAATGCATTGCTGTAAGATGCACAGGGAGAATGAAGCAACTAATTGTTATATGGAATACGAATTTAGTAAGTAAAAAGAAAAACTCTGAATAAAGGAGAGGAAACTAAGATAGTGTAAACAACTTCAATTTCATCACCCATTTAGCATAATTTTGGAATCTATTTTGGGAATTTAAGAATATTGGGGAATATTCTGTTTCATTTATTGAAGTATTTTAGATGGAGAGGGATTAGGAAGGTGAAGGACAATTGCTATTGGACAGCACACAATAAAAACTTTAATTGTATCTCAGCGCTGTACCTGCTAGTCTTAAAAAACATAACATGGTTCCTTATAGCCCATCTTGGCGGTTTAGAGTCACAGTGCACTATAAAAATGGCTCAGGCATATGGAAACCATGTAATGATTTATTAATAATTCACCATAATGGGATACAAACAAAGGATTCTAGTCATTGAGACATTTACAATCAAAAACAGCACTATAGATCTGCCCATTGGATGGGAAGCATTTTGATAAAAGCCTATTTATAACTCATTCCTGTGACTCAGGTTTCTTTCACCACGGGCACTGCAATTTAAGGACTAACCCCAAAGGCAGTTGCAAAAAGGTCTGAAAGAGCCTCAGTTCTCTGGGAGGCTTTTCAAGTTTCTCAGCAAGGGCCATATTAAACAGGTGAGGTAAAAGTTTGAGAAAAACAAGACTAGTTTCATCCCTGTTTCTTTTTAGCAAATCCCAGGTCTAAATTTTATTACATTCC